CAGGAATGCAATCTACATGGAATGCAAATAATACAAACGGTAAATATTACTTTACAGTGACATAAAGCGCAGAATAAACTGTCGATCAATTATCGTCAATTTGTATGCTTATCGTTATGCAACCGATTTCTAAAAATACAAAACTAATTAATTGCAGCATCCAACGCCACGTGGAGTATAGGAGTAGGTAATAATCACCATGTCGTCTCAAACCCGTTCGCGGGTGGAGATTTATGGCGGCCGTCTGCGAACGTAATCAATAATAATAATACTCAATCCGTCGACAATTCTCTATGTAATTCTGCGAATCCGTTTAAACCAACTCCATTTTCTGTAAATAATGGTAAGTATTTTAACGTAACATGTGATACAGAATACATATGTAACACACACAGACGCATTTTTATATGTTAAAATTCCATGAGAAATACAGCTGCGACATGATTTTTATATAGTGAATTTATTAATGTGTAAATTTATTTAATATATATTTCGTTAAATTTTCTCTATACATTTTTTAAATGTTTAACTTGTAAAATACATACTTTGATGATTTTGAGCTTTTAAAGAAAAAAGTTCGGGAATCAAAGGGAGTTAGAGATAAGAAATGTCGTGTGTTACAAAGTTATATCCCTATCATTACAAAATAATTTTAGTTTGCCAAAATATTAATGTTTTTGGTCTAATAAACCTGAAATCAATTTTCAGATTCACAGTGGATAAGTATTGGTACACCTAGTAATGGGGATGTACTCCAATTGAGTCAACTTGTGACACCATTAGCAAACAAAGTATGGCAACCGACAGTTCCAGCCTATCACGCAAATCCATTCATGGTAAATTGAGATTTTAATAAAAAATTGAGAAATTTTCTCTCTATACATTCGGATCATTACTCGGTTTCAGGTGGGCACAGGAGTAAGCAACATGACGAGGAATTCAAATAATCCCTTCTTATGATTATGTAAGCTTATAAGCTTTTAACGAAGTTACGAACAAACTAAATGCAAAAATTAAAATATATTTTAGATTAGGCAAATTGTTTTATATATATCTATATATACATATATGTATGTACGTATGTATGTATATATATATAGTATGTGACCTTATTGGCAATTAGTGCCATTAACTTTTATCCCCAGGAGCACCAATCTCGTCTCTAAATAAAATAATACTTTTATTTATGAATATAATATACACGTTAATAAAGAGATTAATATTTGTTACTAAATGTGTAAATATTACTTATTATAGTGATATTTTTTTACTCCAATTTCCTGATGAGAAATTTTTAAATAGGTTGGACAAATTTTTTTTTTTTTTTTTTTTAAGCATTCCTAAAAATAGAAATATAGATATGTATATATACCTAGAAAAAAAACTATAAAAAAAGAAAAAAGATGCTTATCATAGAACGACATAGTAATCTGAAATGTACATATATCTGTATTATTGATCTATTATGTCAAAAGCGAATAACGAGAAAGTAAAATCAAGGATATACATTCGTTCTCTCTCTCTTCTTATGCACACTTAAATACAGTTTATTTACTTAAAAACTTCTAATAAATACAAAATCACAAATGAACACTTAGTCTTTGTTATAATTCAATACCGATAGCTCTAGAGTAGAGATCCACTTAATCATTCATAATTGCATGATAATTAATTATTACTTGATCATTACACTTGCGCAGTCTATATTATATGCAGTTGTAATATATTATTAATTGTAATAACATGGTCGGTTCGCGTATTACAATTACATATGAATATAAAGATATAAGCCTTGTTGTGTTGTCAATTAGTTTCACATAGTTGCCATATTTATGTTTCCTTGTTCGTTTGCTAGAGTAGTCTGGAAGCTCCGAGGAGAATGTGTGTGTAAAAGATTCACTTAGAGTAATAAATTATATATATAGATATATGTCACTGTATAAATGGAGAAAAAACAATCGAGAAACACTAATATATACGAGTGTAGACCAATTATATTAATTGTTATGTATAAATGTACGAGATGTGTATGATGATATTGATATTACTAGGCAGGCGTCGCGTATCTTAGCGATACATCTGAAAGCGCATGGACTGTCTTCTTCTTCATGGCACGAATTCGTCTAGCAACCATTGCTACTGGCATTGCCTTTTGGTAATGGGCGTACCAAGTACAACTTTTCGCCCTGCTTATTGGTATAAATTGGCGCTCTCTGGTAATGATCTACAAGCTGATCTAGTGTGTGGAACTTCCTTTGACCGATGCAATATAGCGCTCCTTCCACATGTACCCTAAAGTGCTTATTACGTCCCGGTGCTTTCAAGGATACCGAATAGTCACCCATCTAAAAATTCACAATAATTAGCTACAATGAACAACATTTATAATGGTAAACCATCATATGTTTGTATTATATATTTTTTATATTTTTGTATTACATACATTCCCTTTATGATGGGGCTAAGTTGGAGCAATATTAAATTTCTAAATTTTTAGCAAATTTTAAAACATTGGATTTTCTTTAAACAAATACAATACTTTGATACTCTTAATTATTTATATATAAAAAAGTGAAAAATAAGGTAAATAGAAATAGACAATGCCTATGCATAGAATAGATCATTGAATGTAAAGTTTCGACTGGGATATAACCCATCACAAAAATTTTCTAAAGTTGACCAAACGCGAAATGTTTTGATTTAATCGCGATAGCAGCCGCTGTATACTCACATTGGTTTCACTATCCCTGATTAGAAAATCTCCATCATGGCCATGTTGATTGAGCAGCGTGTCGCATTGCGAACGCGTAATACTACCGTAGTACCAGGGTTTACCGACGAGATGCGGCCGATCACCTGGGTCCGGCCTTCGTTCAAGGGAATCTCCTTGGCTGATCTCACTGCTCGTCATACCGCGCTCGCGATACGGTTGCGTCAAGTATTCGCTGAGCTCCTGGAGATAATTACGCGGCACCAATCCGACCTGTCCCTGGCTATTTCTCGCCTTATACCATTCCGGATCCGCCGGCGGACGATCGAGGATCTCGAGGCGGTCGCCCTTCTCGAACGACAGCTCCTGATCGTTGTTGGATGAGAACGAGTAAAGGGCCACCACGATATCGAGCACATTCTCGGCCATCGCATATGTGTGCAGCGTGTCGTCGGCATCGCCCTCCTCCTGAGTGTAGTTCGACGGGAACCAGCCGGCCTGGGTGCCGCTTTGGCCTCGCCACCAACCATCGTTGCTCTTCTCGAGTATCAGGATTCTGGTGCCCTTCACAAGGGACAGCTCGTCTGCCTGCTGCGCCTGATAATTATATTTGACAACCGCAGTGCCGATCGCTTCGCTCGGATCGGCTGGCAGGCGTCGCGCCATGATAGGTGACTCAACCGCACGGGACGGCGAGTTACTGGATGGCAGCGTTTTGGAGCCGGAGCCCTTTTTAACTTTCTTTTTAATACTGTCGAACAACGAGGGCTTCTCCTTCTTAACATAGTTGCTCGGCACGTATCCTGCTTGTCCCCTCGCACTTTGCACTCGCCACCAATGTTTCGAATCGTCCAGTAATAGATAGCGATCATTCTTACGTAAGTCTAGTTCCTGGGCGCCCTGTGCCCCGTAATCATACTTGGCGACAACGTAACATACGTCGTCTTGACTCGTCTTGCCTGAAATGTATCATGACTATTATAACACATATTAATAGGAAATGCATGAGAGAGAAATTATGTTAAACTAACTTCTTCTCTTCTTAAAGTCAATTTATCAAACTCATTCAGCAATATATATATATATATATATATATATATATATATATAAAATATTATCTCTCTCTCTCTCTCTCATTTTGTTTGTACAATATATATTTATATAAAGTAAAAAGCTGTGTACATACGCCTCTACCGATGCTACATCTATGTATAAATGTACAGATGCGCGAATACGCTCGCATAAACACCCGATTCATATTAATTCGTTTAACGACTTAACGAAACTTTAAGTATAAAGCGTATCAATCGCAAAACTCCTTGCATCCCGTGTCGCTACGCGATTATTTATCAGAACATTTATATATGCGTTTCCGTTTCATTTTACCGTTGTAAACGAACTTATAAATAAACGATCTGACAAAAAAAATCATAATTTAATTCAGTCGTATAAAAAAATGCCCATTGGTATACACGGTAATGGGCGATTTTCTTGCATTTTTATGGTTGATTTCTTATACTGTGTGTTGGCACTATTATTCGTAAAAATATTAGCAAAAAATCTATAATATTAATCATTGAGAGAAATTTCATATTGTTAATATTTAGAATAATTATGAACTTGTTGAATGTAGATCTGAATATAATATACTTGCTTTCAGAAATATATATATATATATATATATATATATATAAATTATTATCACTCCCTCTCTGCCTCATTTTGTTTGTACAATTTATAAATATTAAGAATAATTTATACATATTGTATAATTTAGTGAAATTATAATAAAAGATCATCAGGTTAATATATTATTATATGATAACAGAATCATAAAATCAAACTTACTATTTTTAATCATCACTCTATACACACACACATACAAGTACTATATCTGTTTATAGAAACAGTAACATGTACTTCATAAATTTACGTAACAAATATTACAATTGATACAAAAACCAATTATTCACACAGTAACCAATCTTGTAGATTAAGTATCAGAGATTGCATGGAAATAAAAGTCTTAATGTTTTTCAAGAACTTCGCAAAATATACATAGAACTGAAATTATCAATTTGCAAAATATACATGAAACTCAAAACATCATCAAGGTAACAGACCTATATAGACCTGATGACCTTCATCAATATGTCAAATTGAAAGAAATTTACATACAAAGCAAAGCATACAAAAAATAAAACGTACCATGCTTCATGGCTGCCATGTGCGAAAAAATAAATACATATATATATATATACGACGATATATATTATATATATATGTATTTAAATTTGTATGTACAGCTGAGAGTGTGGCGTGAGTAGCTGCTACTCACGTACTACTTCAATAAATCTTAAGTCTGCTTGTACAGAGTCGACGGCGTGAGTGCAGCAGGCATTATTTTACTTTTGCTTTTTTTTTTGTTCAGTGCTGATGCACCTGCTGATTTCTTTGGTCAGAATCCATCGTTCTCAAGGGTAGCGCAAGCAAGTGCATTACCAACACTTTGGAAAAAATAAAATAACGATCATTAGCATGAGATTATCAGATAAGTTTGATAAAATTTTATTTTTTTATTATATTATACTTAAAATACACATTAATAGAGTGAGTCAATCTAATTTTCATTTGGCATATAATGTTTACAATTTTTTAAAGATTAATAATAATAATTTTATGAGATTATGCTTATATTAATAACAGTGTTCAAAGATATTTGAATCTGAAGTTGCATAATGAACGTTAAGCAGATTTCCATTATGGTTAAGAACAACAAAAATGACCGCGGATTGTTACATTAAGTGACTCACCCTATACATGTGTCTGTTTACTTTTCAACAATCTTTATCTCTCTAAATGTGCAATATACTTCACAATTGGAATCAATAGTAACATCTGTTCATAATAAATATGTATTCTAATATCAAAAATGGTTAACCCCTTATATACGCAACTTAAATTAATTAGTAACATTGAAAATCAACTTGGAAACTATTATAAGCGATGCATAAATCAATAGCTATATCTTAGTGATTATCTTTTACTTGTAAATTAAATAAGTTAACATAAAGATAATATCTTGTATACAAAGTACATGATCTGTATCCTAATATTATATACGCATGCAATATAACAAATATACAACTACACATATATATGCACATATGTTTAACTCAAGACTAATAAATATAATCAATACCAGCATAAAAAATATGCAACTAATATATTTGTCAATATATTCAACAAAACTTTTTTTATAGGAGCTTTATCAATCCAATAATTCAATTCTATTACGAGCAATCTATTAAGATTTAGAATACAAATGCATTTTGGGCTAAATAAAAATGCATTTGTCTACACAATAATGTGAACATTCCCCAATCTCTTCCTTCTTTTCTATCTCGTATATCGAGAAAATTGCTTAGTGTTCCAAGAGGGAGAAGTCCCACGGGGAGATGTACGATCTAAACAATCGATTGAGAGAGTAGAAAGCAATTCCGCTAATCGAAAGAAAGGCAATTCTTCAAATTATATGAAGCCGGTTGCATCGAAGCCGATGGCGCTAAAAAATGACAGTTGATTCGAGTCTTCTCCTTCCTGCCATATCGTAAACGGACACATAATCTAAGGAAAAGCAGCGAATATAGACAGGGTGGATTAAAACTATGAAATCATCGGTGCTACACAGTGCGAATACGAGGCCCGCCGTGTCGCATATGCGCATATTAAATTCACTATCTCCGTTTACATCACGGCTATAAAAGCGCCGGCGATTCTCTCGGAAAGAGACGGTGATATCGCTGAACGGAATTAGTCATAGACATGGCACAACTGACTCTAAACGAGCGAGAAATCCCTGCTCTAAAAGGCTCGTCTGCTTCTCTCTCTCTCTCTCCCTTCCTCTCTTGATAGAAAGAGAAACAGGCAAGCGACGTGACACAACCTACGCGGATCCCTGCTCTAAAAGGCTCGTCTGCTTCTCTCTCTCTCCCTTCCTCTCTTGATAGAAAGAGAAACAGGCAAGCGACGTGACACAACCTACGCGCTACGGATCGTGCGAGGAGCGCAAGAAGCGGGTAAATGTATACATATATAAATGCCGGCCGGACTTACCGATTTTTAAACTTGACATATTCCTGCATAAAGCTTTTGGGATCTTACGTCGTTACAGGGCTTGTTTTCCCCCACCCCGAGCCGCAGCCATGAACGACTGGAGCGGTACCTACGTACCGGGGGGGGCTCGTGTGAATGTCTCCGTCACTCTCTCTCTCTCTCTTTCTCTATTACTGACAGAAGCGGAGAATCAGGAAAGGAGCGACCCACGTTCCATCCGTTTTCGATTCGTCCTCGTCGTCGGCGAGAAAATAAGATGTGCACCAGGATGCACCGGGATCACACGAGCGATCGGATGGTGTATCGCACGCGGATCACCGATCACCGCCCTTGCAACTCGCGCGAGAGCGGACCCGAAGCGACGTTCACGGCGCTGATTCGCGGCCGCGCGACCCCTCCCGCACGAAGGACAGACCCACCCTTAGGCCGAAGATGTATGTATATATGCATGTCTGAGGGTATGTAGCATACCTATCCGGTCGGCGTCACATGCCCTCCGTCCGATTAGACCGTCCGCCGCGCCATCTCGCGACGAAGAGTCTCTCCGACGTCTTTCTCTTCCGGTTTTGACACATGCCGCGATTTTTGCTCTCTCATAGAGGAAGCTTTGTTTTCGTGAAATTTTTTTTTTAGTTTTCCATGTCAATGTATTTAGAATTTACCAAAACGCCAGAAAATCATATTTTTTTTTAAATGTCTGTATGTATGTATGTACGGAATGTACATTGTACAACCTTTAACTTCCGCAATTTTTGAGATATCGAGCTAAATTTTTTAAAATGTATAGAGTATCATTAAAGGATGATTGGTATTGAGTTCGAGAATTTGTTGAGAATCGGTGAAAGGGTTCATATTTTATAAAATTTTGAATTTTCTGAAAAATACACTCTGACTTTTGCAAATTTTTAGATATCGAGTTAAATTTTTTTACATAAATAGAAAGAGAAACAGGCAAGCGACGTGACACAACCTACGCGCTACGGATCGTGCGAGGAGCGCAAGAAGCGGGTAAATGTATACATATATAAATGCCGGCCGGACTTACCGATTTTTAAACTTGACATATTCCTGCATAAAGCTTTTGGGATCTTACGTCGTTACAGGGCTTGTTTTCCCCCACCCCGAGCCGCAGCCATGAACGACTGGAGCGGTACCTACGTACCGGGGGGGGCTCGTGTGAATGTCTCCGTCACTCTCTCTCTCTCTCTTTCTCTATTACTGACAGAAGCGGAGAATCAGGAAAGGAGCGACCCACGTTCCATCCGTTTTCGATTCGTCCTCGTCGTCGGCGAGAAAATAAGATGTGCACCAGGATGCACCGGGATCACACGAGCGATCGGATGGTGTATCGCACGCGGATCACCGATCACCGCCCTTGCAACTCGCGCGAGAGCGGACCCGAAGCGACGTTCACGGCGCTGATTCGCGGCCGCGCGACCCCTCCCGCACGAAGGACAGACCCACCCTTAGGCCGAAGATGTATGTATATATGCATGTCTGAGGGTATGTAGCATACCTATCCGGTCGGCGTCACATGCCCTCCGTCCGATTAGACCGTCCGCCGCGCCATCTCGCGACGAAGAGTCTCTCCGACGTCTTTCTCTTCCGGTTTTGACACATGCCGCGATTTTTGCTCTCTCATAGAGGAAGCTTTGTTTTCGTGAAAATTTTTTTTTAGTTTTCCATGTCAATGTATTTAGAATTTACCAAAACGCCAGAAAATCATATTTTTTTTTAAATGTCTGTATGTATGTATGTACGGAATGTACATTGTACAACCTTTAACTTCCGCAATTTTTGAGATATCGAGCTAAATTTTTTAAAATGTATAGAGTATCATTAAAGGATGATTGGTATTGAGTTCGAGAATTTGTTGAGAATCGGTGAAAGGGTTCATATTTTATAAAATTTTGAATTTTCTGAAAAATACACTCTGACTTTTGCAAATTTTTAGATATCGAGTTAAATTTTTTTACATAAATAAAGTATCATTAAAGGATGGTTGGTATTGAATTTGGTGAGGATCGGTGAAAGGGTTCATTTTTTATAAAATTTTGAATTTTTTGAGGAATGTTTGTACACGCTCTAACTTTTGCAAATTTTTTGAGAAATGTCTATACACGCTCTAACTTTTGCAAATTTTTTGATATCGAGTTAAATTTTTTTACATGAATAGAATATTATTAAAGGATG